TGCCCATAATACCAACAGTCTCGAACCAGTCAACAAGTAATTAACCTATGTACTTAGTATGATGAGAGCCACAAAAGATATCACATATCTTTTGACTTCAAATCACTTTGTGGAGTTAATCTTGTTGGAAGACACTAGAGAAAAAAAGACTGGTAAAGTGACTCTACAGACAAGAGTACCTGGCTGAAAATTCTGCCTCAATCATATATTTGCATAGACTCTGGTGTTAAATTTGCGTAGTATAGTAACAAGCAGCAGTTCTGTGATAAGCAGAGTTGTTGACCTGGAACCCCTTCAGATCTTAAATTTTTTGAGAATCCCAAAGAACTTTTGTTGGGATGTGTTATATTCAGTAATGTACTGATAAATGTTTAAAACCAACTCTTCCCCTTTTCCCTCTCCCTTTTCCACTCTTTAACTCCCTACCAAAAAAAGTCAGATTTGTGATTTCTACTAATTTCCATGGTGTGTATAATTCTGGAATGGCTACTTTTCAACCTAGAAATGTGACATTCTGAATGCAGAATTAAGAAGAGATGAGCAACAGTGGCTCTCTCCAGCTGGTAAGGCTTCAGAAAATCATAGTTGTATCTATCTATACCCATCCTATTAGAAAATAAAATGGAGAAATATAATATTCATTAATTTAAAATAATAATCATTTTATGTTAATAATTTTTAAATTATAAAATAATCTAAATTTTCCAAATAAAAAAATCTGATAAGTATGGAACTGGTTTACATTTTTATAAAATCCATTAATGTCTTAACAGAAGGCAGATTCTCACATCTGGTTCTGCACTCAATCTGGTGTTTTATCGGAAGTTATGAAGAAAATGCAGCCTCACACAGAGAGGGAATTGAAAAAGGGCCTCCAGGGGTCTTCCATTCACACTTTGAGAAGCATTTATATATAGTGTACAGTTTGCATAAAAGATTTTGGTGTTAAAAGGCCATACCAATAGTGAGAATCTGCAAAAGTTTGGTAGTTTAATTAGTTTTTCTCACCTAGTAATTGTATCAATATGAAGAACTCCAACTTTAAATT